TTTATACCGTTGCATGTTCGAAAAAAAAAAAAAAAAAAAAAAGAACTATTGGACTTGAAGCAGGGCTCGATGTTAGATGATGACTATTTTGTGAAATTCAATGAGCTGGAGATGTATGTTCATAACTACTTTTTCAGTGAGAGACATAATTGATCATTTTGTAGATGGATTACAACAGAGGATTCAACAAGCTTTAGCTGTATTAGATATCAGTTTATTGTATGAGGTTTATGAGCGTGCTGCTGAATTTTATCATAAGCATAAAGTCGGGCATAAAGACACTGGGAAGGAAATGGGTTATCAACATCATTCTAAAGATAAGGGAAAAGCTAAGGTAGAAGACGAACCAAAGGGTAAAAAGAAACTGTGGAAAATGTTTAGGTCTGGGTTATTGTATAAGAAAATTTCAATTAATGAACCGAGTCAAGAGAGGTCTAAAAAATTGAAGATTGTTTATCAGCGTAGTGGAACATTCATTCAGCTACCCATTTGATGAAGTTCTATTGATATATTTTAAGTGTGGGTAGTGGGCATATCGTTAGGTTATGCCAAAGTGCGTTAACTACAAGGGAGTTTTCAAAACCGAAATTTAGGTCATAACAGCAGCCGTCTTCATAGCCACAGGGGAGAGGATTAGCGCCACCATGACGAGGTGGTCGAAGTCAGTCACGTTCGTCATCTAGGCTGATAGAGGACCTAACCAGCGTGGCAAAATAAACTGTTACTCAAACAAAGGTTGATTATCATCCATGTGAGGTTTTAATGGATAGATGTTTTGTTTGCGGTTTTCCTGCTCTTGTGTTATTTGATTTAGGTGCAACGTTCTCATTCATATATAAGCGTTTGGTTAGAAGATTGGGTCTTAATTCATCAGTAGAAGTGGTAATGGAAGTTTTACTTCCATCAAAAGAAATACTGAAGTGCCGGAAACTTTATATAGAAATTCTGATTAGTATTGAGGGAGTTGATTTTGCTACTAACTTGTTAAATATTAAGCTATCCGAGTTCGTTGTAATATTTGAGATGGATTGATTATTTGCATATCAAATTCAATTTGATTGTCGAAAAAAGGTCAATTTTGTTTATTAGAGCGAGGGGCAAGCAGTGAATTATGTAGGATCTGCAAGACAACCTTCTATGTAGGTAATTTCATCCTTATCATTTCAATCATTTGTTCGTAAGGGGTATCCAATGTATCTGTGTGAGGTAAGAGATTTGACACAAGGAGAACAACGATTGTAACATATTCCTATGGTTTGAGATTTTCCTAATGCATTTTTTGACATTCTAGGTACGCTACCAGCTCGTGAAGTGGATTTTACTATTGATATTGTGTCAGTTGTTGAGCCAATGTCAAGGGCTCCATGCCGGATGGCACCGTTAGAACTCGCTAAACTTAAGCTGAAACTACAAGAATTATTAGATAAATGTTACATTCGTCCTAGTACGTCGCCTTGAGAGCTCAGGTTTTATTTTTGAAAAATAAATATGGGAGTTTGAGATTGTGTATTGACTATCGTGGGCTAAATAAAGTCATGGTGAAGAACAAATATCCTCTTCCGAATATTGATGATATATTTGATCAACTGAGAGGTGCAAATATATTCTCAAATATTGACTTGAGATCTGGATCATTAGCTAAGGATTGCAGAGTGTGATATTCTTAAAATAGCTTTGTGCTAGATATAGGCATTATGAATTTACAATTATGTCTTTGGATTGACTGACGCCCCTCAGCTGGGCTGTGTTTATGGAGTTGATGAATAGAGTTTTCAACCATATCTCGATCATTTTTTGGTGGTATTTATCGACAATATCTTGGTATACTTTTCAGATAAAAAGACACATGGGAAGAATGCTCGTGTAATACTAAAAACATTGCGTGCAAAAAAATTATATGCCAAGTTATCCAAATGTGAGCTTTGGTTGATAATTGTTGCTTTTTGGGGTATGTCATATCTGAAAAGGATATTTCAGTAGATTCTTCTAAAGTGGCGGAAATCTCGAATTGGCTAAGATCTACCAATCAATCAAAAGTAAGAAGCTTTTTGGGTTTGACAGGGTATTACCGAAGATTCGTTCTTGATTTTTTTAAAGTTGCAAGTCCGTTAACTAATTTGCTGAAGAAGGATGCAATGATTAATTAGGATCGTGATGTGATTCATACTTTGTAGAATTGAAACATCAATTAACTTCAGCATTAGTTTTGGCTTTACCAGTGGAAGGTGAAGATTTTGAAGTTTACAATGATGCATCAAAGAAGGGATTGCGATATGTACTAATGCAGAATCGATGAGTTATTGCTTATGCATCATAAAAATTGAAACCCTATGAAGAGAATTATCTTACATATGACTTAGAGATGACAACAATTGTCTTTATTTTTAAGATTTAGAGATAATACCTTTATGGCGCCCATTGAAAAAAGTTTACTAACCATCAAAGTCTGAAATATATTTGCAATCAAAGAGAATCAAATTTAAGACAAAGAAGATGGTTGGAATTGGTGAAAGATTATGATTTTGAAATTTTATATCACGAAGGCATAGAAAATTTTGTAGCTGATGTCTTAAGTCGAAAAGCAAGACATAAATTAGGTTCCATATCAGTTGCTGATGAATTGTGCCAAGATTTGGCACGGATGAAAATTGAAGTACTTGGACTAGGTATGACTCAGTGATATTTGCAAATGATGCAAGTTGAGCCTAAAATTTATGATCATATTAGAGCGGCTCAAATAAAAGATAATAAGATGGTTAAAATGACTATTAAAGTTTAGTACGACCAGACTCAAAATTTTAACACTTCTCCAGATGGAAGTCTTCGATTTCACAGAAGGTACTGTATTCCAAAGGACCAAAGTGATTTGAAATAGCAAATTATGAGTAAGGCTCACAATAGACCATATTCAGTGCATCCGGGGGGTGGGGGGGGTGGGGGGGGGTTAAAATATATCAAGATTTGCGTCAACATTTTGTGTGGAAGGGCATGAATAATGATATAGCTAAATTTGTTACACAATGTTTAAATTTTCAAAAAGTGAAAGTAGAACATCATAAACCAATAAGGTTTCTATAACCTTTAGAAGTTCCACTTTGAAATTAGGATTATATTGCACTGAATGTTGTGACAGGACTTCCAAGGGCAAAGTTGGGAACGTATGCAATTTGGGTGATTGTTGATAGATTGACCAAATTAACAATGTTCGTCCCAATACGTCTGATTTGGAGTGTCATAAATTGGTCAAATTATATATTCATCATGTGGTTAAATGATACGGTATTTCTGAGGTGATCATATTGGATCGTGATCCATGTTTTCAATTTTGATTTTGGCAAAAATTGCAGAAAGCCTTTGGTGCTCAATTGCATATGAGTATTGTATTCCATCCAATGATTGATGATCAATCAGAAAGAACTATTTCTATCTTGAAAGATATGGTAAGAGCTTGTGCATTAGAATTTTAAGGAAGTTGAGAAGACCACTTGAACTTAGTGGAATTCTTGTATAATAATAGTCATCAAACAAGTATTTGAATGGCTTATATTGAAGCTCTTTATGGCCGAAAATGTAGGACAGCTTTGAGTTGGGATGATATGAGTGATCAACTGATATTAGGTTCAGAAATGATCGATGAATTAAAAAATAAGATTCGAGATATCAGAGAGAAGATGAAGACAGGTAAAGATCGTCAAAAGAGTTTTGTTGATAAAGCTCGATGTGAGGTTGAATTTCAGAGTGGAGGTTTATTCCTATTGAAAATATCTCCAATGAAAGGTATTAGAAAGTTTGGGACTATAGAAAAATTGAGTCCGCATTATGTTGGACCCTATGAAATTATTAATCGAGTTGGTGATTGGGCTTATCGGTTGACACCTCCTAATTATATGAAATGTATTTATAATATGTTCTATATATCACAGCTTCGTAGGTATATCGCAGATCCTTCTAATATTTTATTTTCGGATGAGCTAAAACTGAATGAGGATCTTTCGTATGAAGAAATGTCTCTTTGGATCATGAACACAAAGGTTCGAACCATGAGGAATCGGGATAATAGTATGGTAAAGATAATGTGGTCCCAGCATAGAGTAGAAGAAGCCACGTGAGAAGTAGAACAAGAATGTTCGATGCAAACCCACAGTTGTTTAGCTAAGTAGTGTTGTTATGCTCTTGAGTTTAGATTTTAAGGATGAAATTTTTCTAAAGGGGAGTGAGTTGTAATGTTCCGATTTTAAAGTGTATAAAATAATATTATTTTATCAAATATATATTTTGATAATATTAATGAAATTAAATAATTAATATTCTGAAATAAATTAATTATGTGAATATATAATATTAAAAAATATTTGATTAGAAACTACATCAATAAAAACAACATAATATGATTAACAAGAGTTTGAACATTCTAACTACTTTGAAGACCCTATAGTGTGACACTTCACAACCAATAAAAAGCAAAGCGTTTATGGTCTACCTTCTGCATTTAATATATCAATTTATATTTTTCAAAAAAATATAAATTTATCATATAATCCAAATATTTCAACATATGTTTTTTTAAATGCTATATTTTTTTAATAATAATAAGAAGAAGAAATGCCAGATGGCAAATGCAATGAAAGCAAGCCTAATGTAGAAAAGTGGTTGAGCACTGAGAAATCGCCACAAGCTTTTGAAAGCGTTGTTCAATAGTGTGCCTCACCAAACCCCCTTTACCTACCCCGCCATACCCTTCCGTTAACTTTGACGCCGTCACCTTCCACCCGTTCCCATCCCCCCAGCCTTTCCGTTTACTCTGACGCTGTCAACTCCGCCGCTTGTCGACAATTAGAGCATTACTGAATTACTTAATTAATCCAAATTATGATAATTACAATTATTATTACTACTTACCATTTTATAAATAAATTAAATTTTAAAATAAAAATAATAATTTAGTTTCTTGATTTCTTCCTCACCTAACCCCGGCGGTTCTATAAATTTATTCACGCATTTTGCGAGCTAACCATAAAACTGCTTCAGCCGGTAGACTTTTCTAGAACCACCGCTCCTCCGCCGATATCCACCGCCATTACCAGGCGATTAGCTCCAGATGGATCTTCTCCTTGTCGAGAAGGCTCTATTCGCTCTGTTCTTCGCGATAATCGTCGCCGCCGTGGTGTCGAAGCTACGAGGGAAGAAGTTCAAACTGCCGCCAGGACCGATTCCGATTCCGATATTTGGTAACTGGTTGCAAGTCGGCGACGATTTGAACCACCGGAATCTGAAAGACTATGCAAAGAAGTTCGGAGACCTTTTCCTGCTCCGGATGGGGCAGCGCAACCTCGTTGTCGTGTCGTCGCCGGAGCTTGCTAAGGAGGTGCTCCACACGCAGGGGGTGGAGTTCGGATCGCGCACGCGGAACGTGGTGTTCGATATCTTCACCAACAAAGGGCAGGACATGGTGTTCACGGTGTACGGCGAGCATTGGCGGAAGATGCGGCGGATCATGACCGTGCCGTTCTTCACCAATAAGGTTGTGCAGCAGTACCGCCAGGGATGGGAGGCGGAAGTCGCGGCGGTGGTCGAGGATGTGAAGAAGAATCCTGAGTCGGCGACCAATGGAATCGTGCTGAGGAAGAGACTGCAGTTGATGATGTACAACAATATGTACAGGATCATGTTCAATCGAAGGTTCGAGAGCGAGGACGATCCGTTGTATATGAAGCTCAAGGTCTTGAACGCGGAGAGAAGCCGATTGTCTCAGAGCTTTGAGTACAACTATGGCGATTTCATCCCCATTTTGAGGCCATTCCTCAAAGGATATCTCAAGGTCTGCAAGGACGTCAAGGACAGGAGATTGCAACTTTTCAAGGACAACTTCGTCGATGAGCTAAGGTAAGTTTACTTTATGCTTCTTCCATTTCTTTGTTTCCATTACTGATTCTGCACCCTGTTGTTCCTCCATTAGCACAAATCAGGATTCACCTGTTCATTTCTTCATAGTTAAATTGCTTTTATGAACTAACACCTAGGCTCATATACTGAACATAATTAATTGATGATTAGCGTGTTCTATACTCTTTCTTGTCTCACCATAAATATACCTTAATATTAATTGGATATTGAACCAGATCATATCCATACTTTGGATATTCTCTAAACTGCTATTAATTACTCAATCATTTCTAACTTCAATCTCAAGGAAGATGATATATGTTGGCTTCCCACTCTCAACCATATGATAAGCTGCTGCTAGATCCCTTCCCTTGTTCTTTACTTCTCTTCATTTTTATAATCGATGTATTTCATTTGATCTCATCACATCTGATTCTGCCATGAAAAGGTTTCTTAAAGGCGGTGATAACAAAGTAGTAGCTGTTCTGTTCTACACTTTTGCTCAACTTTTTCCCGAAATCCAACTTGTAGTTGTCCTGTTCCTTGTAGCGCAGTATAATTATTCTTTGTGAATTGCAGGAAGCTTGCAGGCACAAAGAAAATCGACCATGGCACCGGAAAATGTGCAATGGATCACATTCTTGATGCCCAACAGAAAGGAGAAATCAACGAAGACAACGTCCTCTTCATCGTCGAGAACATCAACGTTGCCGGTAAACTCTCATCCCCGCAATCAATCATCAGCTCTGTACCATTAACGCCTCTGTTCTAACCATCCTATAATTCACCGATCGATTGCAGCCATCGAGACAACCCTGTGGTCGATCGAGTGGGGCGTCGCGGAGCTTGTGAACCACCCGCAAGTCCAGAGCAAGCTCCGGGAAGAGCTTGACCGGGTGCTCGGTCCTGGAGTCCCTGTAACCGAACCCGACACCCAGAAGCTCCCATACCTCCAGGCAGTGATCAAGGAGAGCCTCCGGCTCCGGATGGCGATCCCCCTCCTCGTCCCCCACATGAACCTCCACGATGCTAAGCTCGACGGGTATGACATCCCGGCAGAATCGAAGATCCTGATCAACGCATGGTGGCTGGCCAACAATCCCGAGCAATGGAAGAATCCGGAAGAGTTCAGGCCGGAGAGGTTTCTCGAGGAAGAATCCCACGTCGAGGCGAACGGGAATGACTTCAGATTCCTGCCGTTCGGCGTGGGCAGGAGGAGTTGCCCGGGAATCATCCTGGCAATGCCGATCATCGGGATCACTCTGGGCGGCCTCGTGCAGAACTTCGAGCTACTTCCGCCGCCCGGGCAGACGGAGATCGACACGACGGAGAAAGGCGGGCAGTTCAGCCTCCACATTTTGAAGCATTCAACCGTTGTGTTGAAGCCACGCCAGGTTAAGTAACTAGTAAGTAAGAATGAATTTGATTTAATTTGATAAAACAAAACACATTTTATATGTTGGTGATGTATCATTGTTGGCTTGTCTGTCTGTTAAGTTTATTTTATTTTTTATGTGTATTATGATTGTGAACGATGAACAAATGAACGAACGATCACAAACACTTCTGTTTTTTTTGTTCGGTTTGAATTGATGTCTAAAATTGGATTTTAGGTGGCCGGTCCTTTTAGGTGTGTGTCAAGGATTATTTGTCAGTATTTTTATTACTAAAATATACTTTTCTTTTGTTTTAGGGTATGTTTCTTTAATCTCATACTTTAGGTTTTTATTATTTGGAACACGTATTTTTTGTAAAAAAATTTTTTCTTACAAGATGTCACGTCATATATTATTTTAATATCAAATTTAAACTAATTTTTTTTTTTTTAAACTACATTAAAAAAACATAAATAATAGTAGTATTTTAATGAGTAATATATAAGCTGATTTTGAATTTGAATTGAACGAGTATTAGCGTACATATATAGTCTGAACAAATTAAGAATTTTATAAATCCATAAATAAGATCGATAACATAAAAATTTGTATTTTCTAAATATATTTTAATATTTTTCTTTAAATTCAAGATAAAATCAAATCAATTTGAGTTTGTCAATATTAGAAGTGATGTAGTCATTAGCGTCAACTAAGTTTAAGCCTGAGTCCGAAACAGCTTTCAATTGAGTTAGAAATGGAAACAAGATTTGCTCACTTAACTCACCGTCAACTAAGTTTGAGTCTGAGTCCGAAACAACTCTCTCAATTGAATTAGAAACAAGATTTGCTCACTTACAATAAAGTTAAATTCGAAAACAAGACTTGCTCGATCACAATGAAATTATAATCGAAAATAGAACTAGTTAGAGTTAGAGATACGACTTGCTTGCCTTCAATAAAGCTAAGAGTCAAAAATAGAACTAGTTAGAGTTAGAGATACGACTTGCTTGCCTTCAATAAAACTAAGAGTCAAAAATAGAACTAGTTAGAGTTAGAGATACAACTTGTTTGCCTTCAATAGAGCTAAGAGTCAAAAATAAAACTTTCGACGGTGTTAAAATCGAAAACAGAACTCTGTTAATGGATATCGAAGTGGTGACGACAATATTGTGAAGACAAAAACATCATAAATTATATTGCTCATTCCGTCCCATTTTATATGTCCAATTTCTCATAGATACTAGAATTTAGATAAGTGTAAATAGTAAATAATTAATAAGTATATTAGTAAATATAATTATTATATAATATAAATAATTATAAATTAAAATTTAGATAACTAATTAATTTAATTAAGATTAAAAAAATTAATAATTATGAAATTTAAAATACGATTAAAGTGTTTGATTATTTTTTTCTAAAAAAAATTGGATAAATAAGACGAGACAGATGAAAATCAAAATAGTGAACTCAAAAATTTCTTTACTTTAATCTACAACTTTATTTTTTTTATTCCTAAAAAAATATTTTTTTAATATTTCATTTTATATATTATTTTAAACTACTTTTTATATATATTATCTTTAAAATAAATAATAAAGAAAATAATATACAAGAATTTTAAAAACTATTATTATTATTATTATTATTATTAATATTATTATTTTTAATTATGAATGCAAACACCAATATTGATGTTGCACTTTAGTAACTCCAATTTTTTGTGTCAAATTTGGCGCCTATTAGAGGGCAACCAACGTTAAATCTTTAACCCAGCGCTATAAAGGGGGTTGGAGATGCCCTAATAATTTTTTATCTCACTAAAAGCATTATTTTTATTTGTTCTACTAAAAGAAAATAAAATATTTTTTCTGTTTCAATTCAAAATATCCATTTTATTATTTTCGTTCGTCTAACTCCATAGTATCCCATTTCTATTTTTGTAAAAACAATATAAATTAATACCAAAATACCTTTAACTTTTACCTAAAGTACAAAAATATCATTACACATATGATTACTTTGTACATAAAGTCAAATGACAAAAATATTAAAATCTCTTAGACACTTCGACCAATCAATAAAAATTACTCTCTCAATCCCAACTAATTTGTCCACCTTAGCTGGGGTAAGGAGATTTAGGTATTGTGTAATTAATAAGTAATTAAAAAATGTATTAGTAAAATAATGATAATTTGATAAAAATAAGTATAGATTAAAATTAAGATGAACTATATAATTTAATTAAAATATAAATTATGAATTTTTAAATGTGATTAAAGTGTATAATTATATTTCCAAAAAAAAAAGACAAATTATGTGAGACGAACGAAAATAGAAAATAGAAAGAATTGACACATTAGATGAGACGAATGAAGTATTATTTTTAATCAACTACAAAACTCTAAAGCTACGTTTTTTTTTAATGTTTTGAATTTTTTTTACAGTAATAACAGTTACGGTGAGGGATGTTCACACACAACCCCATTTTAGACCTTTAGTTTACCACCACGGCAATGTACTTCGACTCCGCAGGCGTGTGGCGGGACAATTAGTCGGAGTGCTTACCGGCGAGTGAGAGGTTGGCAATCGACGGCAGCAGCGCACACGGGGAGCGGACAGTCGACTTGACGGAAGAGGAGACTAAGCGTCGTTGCCCCCGAAAGACCCGTGTTTAACAAATAATTATTTGGGATGGTAAAAATTAACAAACCAAGATTTTTTTATTATTGCCAAATAATAAAAACCCTAACCCAAAATACCTAAAAATATATTCTTTTATTTTTTTAACATAAAAAAAAGGAAAAATTAAAACAAAAAACAACATACAATACACTTTTCAATCAATACAATCATTATCAATCAAATTAATTCATATAAAAACTTCTCAAACCCAAATCAAACATATAAACCAAATTCACTCAAAATTTCAAATAAAAACCAAATCTAAATCCAAAATTTTCAAAGTGTGTTTATAGAAACACACCCTGAAAAAAAAAAAAAAAAAAAACTTTACGGAGATAATATTTTCTCATTGCTTTCGCAGCCAACGCCGGCACGTGGCAGCCGCACGTGCCTCCGACGCAAATCGACGTCGTATTCCTCCAGCGACTGCCGCCTTCCTGCCGCGTCCGGCGGTTTCCGCCTCCGTCTCTTGCTTCGATCCCCGATATCCTAGTATAGTCGGTTTTGCCATCTGACTTGAATTTATTTTGCAACTGTTTCTGGGTTGGCTTGCCCAGTCTGATTTTCTGCACGATTCTTTTGCGCGCTATACTATTCTTGATTTTCTCGTTTCATAGTATGGCTCTTAATATGGATCGTGTAGACGCATCCGGGATTATTGTTATTCTTTCTGGTGATAATTATGTTTTGTGGACTGAATCCATGAAGACTATGGCACTATGTTACTGGAGACTTTTCTGCACCGGTTGCTCTTTTTGTCACTTCTACGGCGCCCCTCAACAATAAGGATCTCACGGACTATCGGAATGTTTTGGATGAGTGGGATAGTAAGAACCATATTATTCTTACTTGGATTCGGAATACCTCTTCCAAGTCCATTCAGATTCAACTTCGCTGCATAGATACTGCCAAGAAAGTTTAGGATTATTTGCAGCATCGATATCAGGCCACTGGAGGCATGCATTATTATCAGCTTATAGGGTTATTGAATGCACTGACACATGACTTGCGCCAATATATGAATGAGTTCTTCTCTACTATACAGTCTCTATGGGATCGCATTGATGAGGCCGACATACAGATTGAGCACTTTCGGTTGATTCAGCTTTTGATGAAGCTTGATCCGGAATATGAGTCTGTGCGTGTTTCCTTGTTTCATCGCCATTCTTTGCGTTCCTTGGAGACAGTGATGAAGGAGATTTTGTTTGAGGACACCCGCCTCAAGATGTTCAAGGCTCCTACTTTTGGTTCGGCCTTGGCAGTTCCCTTTTCTACTCCTCATCGCAGAGATAATCTTAAGGATGTCCGACCACCGCAGTCTGATAAATGTCGCAGTTGCCTGAATGCTGATTATCTTTATATCTATTGCCCTAAGGTTGAGTGTCACTACTGTCATCAAAAAGGTCACATCCGTCCGCATTGTCCCAAGAATCCTAAGGCTGGTCAGTCCTTTTCCGGCTCTTCCTATGCCATTGTTGCTGCCACTAGTGTATCACAATCGCCTCAATCGCCTCCCACTCTTGAGGACCTACGTTACATGCTCACTCAGGTTTTATCAATTCATCATTTATTAGCCTCGACATCAGGTAACAACAGTTGGTATATTGATTCTGCCTGTTGTAACCACATGACACATTACCCTCGCATTTTACATTCCTCCCAACCCGTCACCTCATCCCCTCATATACTTACCATTGATGGCACCTCCATGCGCATTACCCATACTGGTCACATATCGTCCCCCCACCTCGATGATTTTTATGTCATTCTTAAATTAGCCCTAAATCTTGCGTCTGTCGGTCAGTTGGTTGAGCAGGATTTTACTGTAATTTTTTCTTCTTCTAGTGTGTAGGTTCAGGACACGCAGACGGGTCGCAAGACAGGCCAACTATTTGAGCTTGACCACCTTTGCCCTCACCAGACCTCATCTCTTTCCGCTGCAGTCTCTTATTCCTCTTCCTATTACTGGCACCTCAGACTTGGCCATGTCTCCCTATCTGAACTCAAGTCTCTTGCAAATACAGGTGTTTTAGGCAGAGTTTGTTTTGATTCTTTTGATTGCTTGCATTGTAAAATTGGAAAACAACCAGCTTTACCTTTTTTGAATAACTTGTCTATTGCTGATAAACCTTTTTTGTTAGTACATTCTGACATTTGGGGGCCCTCTCCTGTTGCTACTCATACTGGGTTTCGTTACTTTGTGTTTTTTTATTGATGATAACTCTCGCTTTACTTGGATTTACTTTATGCCTAAGCGGTCTGAACTTGTTTCCATTTATTCTGCATTCGCTAAAATGGTGCAAACTCAGTTCTCGTGTCTTATTCAGACTTTTCGCACTGACAATGTCCTCTTATATAATGAGTCTGCCTTTCTTAGTTTTCTGTCCACCCAAGGTACTCTTGTCCAGCGTTCTTGTCCCTACACATCTCAACAAAATGGTAGGGCAGAGCGCAAGCATCGTCATATTTTAGATACAGTTCGAGCTATGCTATTATCTGTCAATTGTCCATATCGGTTCTGGGGCGGGGCTGCTCTTACTGCTGTTTATAATATTGACTGTTTACCTTCCCCTGTCCTTCAGGATACCACACCTTTTAAGAGGCTCTTCCACCAGGTACCTGATTACTCTCATATTCATCATTTTGGTTGTGTCAGATTTGTTCATCTTCCTCCTCATGAACGTAACCAATTAGAACCACGCACCCGTTTGTGTTGTTTTCTAGGGTATGGGATAAAACATAAAGGCTAGCGATGTTGGGATTCTGTGTCGAATCGTATACGTATCTCTCGGGATGTTACTTTTTTGGGAGCATAAGTTCTTTTCCTCTGAGTCTAAATTTTCCATTCCATTTGAGTCAGAGTCTCCGTTCTTTGTTCTGGATTCCTCTCATCCTTCTGCAGGTCCCAAACCCCCTTCTATTTCTGTTCTGGATTCCTCTCATCCTCCTGCAGGTCCCGAACCACCATCTGTTCCTGCTGGTCTGTCTGATGTTGATCATTCCCCACCAATTAACCCTCATGCGCCTCCTGAGCCTGTGGCCCACCCTCCAGAAATTTCAGTTCCTACCGCCACTGATCGGCGATCCACCCGTGTAAGTCGTCCTCCATCTCATCTACTTGATTATCTTTGTTTTTCTGTCATTTTATCTCACCATGAACCCAAGTCCTTTCATGAGGTGAACTGTGATCCCTTGTGGCGCGACGCTATGTCTGAGGAATTGCAGGCTATTGAGAAGACCGGCACGTGGGATATCGTCGATCTCCCTCGTGGCAAGAAACCCATTAGCTGCAATTGGGTTTACAAAATCAAAACTCACTCCGATGGTTCTGTTGAGCGCTACAAGGCTCGCCTTGTAGCCATGGTTTTTTCGCAGGAGTATGGTATTGATTATGAGAGACATTTGCTCCAGTTGCTCGTTTGACATCTATCTGTTGTCTCCTTTTTGTTGCCGTTGTTCGACGTTGGCAATTATTACAGTTGGATGTGAAGAATGCGTTTCTTCATAGAGATTTGTCTGAGGAAGTGTACATGACCCCTCCACCTGGCTCATATTTTTCAGGGAAGGTATGTCATCTGCGCCGTGCCCTTTATGGATTGAAGCAAGCGCCCCGAGCTTGGTTCGCCGAGTTTAGTGTTGCGTTCCTTCAGTATGGCTTTTCTGCATCTCCCTATGACTCTGCTCTATTTATTCGTCGTTCTTCTGCCGGGATCATCATTGTCTTGTTTTATGTCGATGACATGGTTATTACCGGTGACGATACTTCTGGAATATCCAATCTACAGACCTACCTTCATCGATACTTTGACATAAAGAGTCTTGGTCAGCTCCGCTATTTTCTCGGAATTGAGATTTCTGACGCTCCAGATGGCATATATCTATCTTAGGAGAAATATGCATATGATCTTATATCTCGTTCAGGTCTGACTGATAGCCAGATTGCATCCACCCCTCTTGAGGGGAACTGCCGACTTGCTCATTTCGACGGCACTCCGGTAGAGAATCCCTCCCACTATCTGCAGTTAGTGGGATCCCTGATATACTTGACGGTCACTCACCCTGACATAGCTCATGCGGTTCATGTTGTTGTTCAGTTCATGACTAATCACAGGACAGTTCACTATGCTGCTGTGGTGAGCATCCTTCGTTATGTCAAGGGAACACTCCTACACGGTCTTCATTTTTCTGATGACTTTCCATTGGTTCTTGCAAGTTTCTTTGATGCTGATTAGGCAGGTGATCCGACTGATCGTGGCTCTATCACAGGTTATTGTTTTTTTTTCTTGGGAGTTCCTTTGTTTCTTGGCACAGAAAGAAACAGACTCTCGTTTCTCACTCCAGTGCAGAGTTTGAGTAACGTGCTCTTGCGGATTCGAATTCAGAGCTCCTTTGGCTTCGTGAGCTTCTTTCTGATCTCGGAGTTCCTCAGTCTTCTTCCACTTTCCTTTATTGTGACAACACGAGCGCAATTCAGATATCCCATAATGATGTCTTTCACGCGCGCACCAAGCATATTGAGAATGATCGTCACTTTGTTCGTCAGCATGTTCGTGCAGGCACTGTTTATCTATCTTTTGTCTCTTCCGAGGATCAGACTGCGGATATCTTCACCAAGTTTTTCTTCCTCAGACTGGTTCTCCACATTGTTGAGCAAATTTATGTTGGTTTCTACTTTACCACCTTGAGTTTGAGGGGGGTGTTAGCATATTTTTATATATTGTCTTTTGGGGCCCACATATATATGTCTATATATATGCACTCTCTTTTTAACTTAATATACAATTTCTATTTTTCGCAAATATTCAAACAATATTAATAATTATAATTAAGATTAAAATAACTAATTAATCTAATTAAAATTTTTTTAAAAAAATCATAAATTAAAAAAATTAAAATGCAATTAAAGTGTATAATTTTTTTTTGAAAAAAAAAGTGACAAGATAAGTTGGACGGATAAAAAAAAATGAACATAGTAATTGAGATGAACGAAATAATATATCTTCAAATATATCTTTTAACATATCTATTTATTTATTTATTTATTTTTTGGATGACGTGGAAACCCGCAGCCGCTACCCGAAAGTGTGCACTGGGTAAACCCCCGGCCGAACCTAATACCCTGCAAACCAGGCCCAACGGAAAAGTCACACTAGGCGAACCATGTGTGTCAGGTGACCTGAGGCGTCGGGGGTTTGAAACTATGACCTCACGGTCACAAATCCAATCCCTACACAATATCAGTTTAGTTGCTGGATTTTTGTATTCCGTTGCATATCAGCCTATATGAAGGCTATTTAGTCGTTGAATAAAAATTAAGTTTTCAAGCTTCAATCTAGCTCAACATTGGTATCAAAGCTTGTATTTTCTTTAAAGTGAGATACGTGGGGGAAAGAAACTGTTGCAGCAGCAATGGCGACCGATAACTTTGTGCAGCCGGCAATTCCTCGATTCGATGGTCATTACGATCATTGGAGCATGCTGATGGAGAATTTTTTAAGATCGAAGGAGTATTGGCAAGTTGTCGAAAGCGGGATCGTAGGACCGGCAACGACAGTTCCTTTGATAGATGCTGAGAAGACAGAACTAACTGCATTGAAGTTGACAGACCTGAAGGCTAAAATTATTTGTTTCAAGCTATTGATTGTTCGATCTTGCAAATGATCTTTAGGAATGACACTTCAAAGGACATTTGGGACTCCATGAAGAAGAAATATCAAGGAAATTTGAGGGCGAAGCGAGCGCAACTTCAAGCTCTCTGTGGTGAATTCGAGACTTTACCCATGAAGTTTGGTGAGAGAGTTTCAGATTACTTTTCAAGAACGATGGCAATCGCAGAGAAGATGTGGATTCATGGAGACACACTTGAGGATGTTGCAATTGTTGAGAAGATCTTTCGATCCATGCTGGCCAAATACAATTATTTTGTATGTTCCATTGAAGAATCGAAAGACCTTGATTCCCTCTCTATTGATGAATTGCAAGGTTCATTGTTGATCCATGAGCGGAAGCTGAATTTGCAAGACAATGAGGAGCACGCTTTGAAGGCTTCATCCAACAATCATTCTTTCATTTCAAGAGGAGGGAGATGATCGAGAACGAGGAAGAGGATTCCACTAATGCGGCAGCTCGAATAATCATAATTTTGATTGTGCACAAAGTAGAGATCAAAGAGGACAAGGAAGAGGATTCTACCAACGCAACATCCCGAACAATCATAATTTTGATTATGCACAAAGTGGAGATCAAGGACAGCGTGTAATAGGCTCCAAGTCAGCCAACAAATCCAAAATCGAATGTTTTTGATGCCATAGGTATGGGCATTATCGCTCCGAATGTTACACGAATTTTAACAAATTGCGTGGGGAAAAGACTAATTTTGCAGAAGCAACTGAAATAGAGGAGGAAATATCTTTGTTAATGGTTTGTCATGCCAAAGAAGAAACCGATAAAGATTTGTGGTATTTAGACACTGGTTGCAACAATCATATGAGCGGAGACAAGTCAGCCTTCTCCATTCTCGATGAATCGTATCGTGGTTACTAAAACTAAAGGAAATTCTACTCAAACAATTTCCGATGGTCTTTTTGTTCCAGATTTAAAGATCAATTTACTGAGCATTGGACAATTACAAGAAAAGAGCTATGAAGTTCTCATTAAGAATGGAGAATGCAAGATTCAAGACAACAAATTGGGTTTGATTTCTAGAGTTAGCATAAAAAAGAACCGAATGTTTCCTCTATATCTCCAAAAGGTCAGTTTTTGTTGTTTTACTGCGTATTTGACTAATTCCGCTTGGTTGTGGCATTTTCGGTTCGGACATCTGAATTTTGGATGGCTAAAAACTTTGCAAGAAAAGAAGATGGTGGCTGGTCTTCCTAAATTTAATCCTCCGTCTGAAATATGTGAAGATTTTATTGTTGGGAAACAATCACGTGATAGCTTCCCGACGGGAAAATCTCGACAGGCCAAGCGTATGTTGGAGTTGGTTCATTCTGATCTATGCGGTCCCATTAATCCAAAATCTAATGGAGGTAAACGTTACTTTATAACGTTCATTGATGATTTTAGTAGGAAGACGTGGGTTTATTTCTTGCAAGACAAGTCAGAAGCTTTTGTTGCCTTCAAAAGCTTTAAAGCCCTTGTTGAAAATGAAGCTCAAAGCTCGATAAAGGTTTTGCGCAGTGACCAGGGAGGCAAGTACAACTCACAAGAATTTGTAGGTTTTTGTGAGCTACATGGTATACAAAAACAACTTACAGCATCCTACTCTCCGCAACAGAATGGGGTAAGTGAAAGGAAAAATCGTACTATCTTGAATATGGTGCGAAGTATCATACGAAGAAGCAATGTGCCAAAGGAGTTCTTGCCGGAAGCAATGCAATGGAGCATTCATATTTTGAATAGAAGTCCCACGTTTTCAATTCAAAACAAGACTCCGGAGGAAGCATGGAGTAGACAAAGGCCGACAATAGATTATTTCAGAATTTTTAGGTGTATTGCATATGCCCATGTCCCGGATCAAAAGAGAACAAAGCTTGATGATAAGGGGGGTAAAGTATGTTTTCCTTGGAGTGAGTGATCATTCAAAGGCATACAAACTCTTTAATCCGATGACTAAGAAGGTTATCATCAGTCGTGATATGGTATTTGATGAAGATAAGTTTTGCCCTTGGAATGATCAAGTTCAAGATGCAACACCAATTGCAGCTGATTTTGAAGATAATAAGGAGGGGCACCAATATCAGAATTTAATCAATACTAATTCTGATCTCATTGATGCAGTAGTGCAAGAGCCCAATCCAGAGCCTGCTCCAACACCAAATGAACGTCCTTGTTGCCATAGACAAAGGCCAGCGTGGATGCAATATTATGAGGTGTCTGGAATCGATCAAAGTGAAGATCCATTAATCCATTATGCCTTGTTTGTGGATAGTGATCCAACAACTTTTGATGAAGTAGTAAAAGAAGAAAAATGGAGAGAAGCCATGAATACACAAATTGAAGCAATTGAGAAGAAAAATACTCAAGAATTGATAGATTTTCCTAAAGGTCATAACACTATTGGTGTCAAATGGGTCTACAAGACGAAAAAGAATAAAAATGGCGGTATCAACAAATACAAGGCTCGTTTGGTGACGAAAGGTTACAAGCAAGAATATGGAGTGAACTACAAAGAGATGTTCGCACCGGTTGCGAGACTCGACACAATTCGGCTGATCATTGCACTAGCAACTCAGAATTCGTGGCCGATTCATCAATTAGATGTGAAGTCCGCCTTTTTACATGGTGATCTCCAAGAACAAGTTTTTGTTGATCAACCCCCTCGATATGTGAAATCTGATTATGAGCATAAAGTATACAAATTAAAGAAAGCGTTGTATGGATTACGACAAGCTCCTCGAGCTTGGTACGGTAGAATCGAAGCTTATTTTTTGAAAGAAGGCTTTACCAAGTATCCTTAAGAACATACTTTGTTTATTAAGGTTGGTCATGACGGAAAATCTTTTTCCATATGCTTGTATGTAGATGATCTCATTTTCATAGGGAATGATGGTGTTACGATGAAGACATTCAAACAATCCATGATATGTGAATTTGAGATGACCGATCTCGGATTGATGAACTATTTTTTGGGCATTGAAGTGCAACAATCTGCTGCTGGAACTTTCATTTGCCAAAAGAAATATGTACAAGAGATTTTAGAGAAGTTTCAATTGAAGGAATGCAATCCGGTTACGACACCCACTGAAATTGGATTAAAGCTCACCAAAGATCCGGATGGAAGGAAAGTAAACTCCACTATGTATAAGCAAATTGTGTGGAGTTTGATGTACTTAATAGCAACGAGGCCGGACATCATGTATGGTTTTAGTTTCATTAGTTGATACATGGAGAGCCCTACCGAAGAGCACCTGCAGGCTGATAAACGTATTTTGCACTACTTAAAAGGGACTACATCTCATGGGTTGTATTACAAAAAAGAAGAAAACTCAAAGTCGTTGGGTTTTACATATAGTAATTTTGCAGGGGATATTGAGGATCGAAAAAGCACTTCATGATATGTTTTTATGCTTGGGTCAACAGCTGTCTCATGGGCATCAAAGAAGCAGCCCATAGTTACTCTTTCAACGACAGAAGCTGAATTTGTGGCAGTCACATCAAGTGCTTGTCAAGCCATTTGGTTGAGAAAGATTCTTGATCAACTTCAGTTCATACAACAAGAAGCAACGATGATTTTTTGTTATAATAATTCAGCCATCAAACTATCAAGAAATCTCGTTCTACACGGGAGAAGCAAACACATTGATGTGAGGTACCATTTCTTGAGAGACCTCACAAAAGATGGTGTAATTGATCTTGTTTTCTGTAGAAGTGAAGATCAAGTAGCTGACTTATTCACTAGGCCTCTCAAATTTACCTCATTTCAGAAGTTAAGGAAGCTCCTCGGTGTTTGCTCGATAGATGCAGAAGATTGAACTTTCTCGTTTAAACTGATAATTGACAATATCAGTTTAAGGGGAGGCATTTTAGACGTGGTATGTTCAATTTCAATAAGTTAAATTAGTCTTAAGTTTGTTTAGATAATTTTTAGGAGTATCTTATTTGTTCCTATTTTCCAGTAATTATAATATCAGTTTAGTTGCTGATTTTTTGTATTCAGTTGTATATCAGCCTATATAAAGACTATTTAGTCGTCGAATAAAAAGTAAGTTTTCAAGCTTCAATCTAGCTCAACAAAAAATAATAGTAAATTGCATGATATTTTAATTTGTATAAATCATAATAATATATTTTTTTATCATATGTCAATATAAGATATTAAAGCTTGAGAAAATCTGCCGGTATGTATAGATGAATTATAAATAATAATAATAATAATAAATTATCGTTATATTTATTTTATATCTAGAGGATCTAAACTTAAAATATTACTATTATTTTATTATATGAAGGAGAACATGTTTTATAAATTAAATTGAGTATGTTTTTCGTAATTTTAAATTAAAATAAATACTATTTATTTTGGAGGCTTTTTAGAAAATATATATATTATTTTATATTACATAACATCGTATCAAAATATTATTTAAATAAAAAATTAAATTTAACATCTTATTTCAAATCAATTTTAAACTACAGTTAAACATACTTAATATTTCTTAAAAATAAATAATTAAATAAAAGGTTTAGACAAGTAGTTTTCAGCATTTGTACATGTATGCGTTGTTAAGGTTTAGAAATCTATGTTTTAGATACACAAAGGATGATGATACTTCAAGGTTCAATGGTCCCCAACCCCAACCGTAAAGTCGAATCTATTGTATTGCATGATAACAAAATGGCCCGGCCCGGCCCAGTGTAAACTACAACAGTAGAGCTGTTACCGATCCGAGCTGAGCTAAGCCGAGCCAAATTTTAAGTGTTCGTTAATATTTGCATACAAAGCTTGTGTTCGTTCATTAAGCTTTCGAACTCGTTCGTAGTGTTCGAGCTCAGCTCGTTAAGAATTTTTGTTGTTTGAGCTCGTGTCGTGTTCGGTTCATTTAGACTCGAATAAGCTTGTTCGAGTTCGTTCGAGCTCGTTTGTCTTATTTTTTTTAAAATTTATATATAAATTATAAAGAAAATTTAAAATTATTTTATTTATATATTTTAAATCAATATTTTATTTATTTATAAATTATAATTTTATATGTATATATAATATTTATAATAAATATATTATTTAAACGAACATTCGCGAACAAAGTTCGGGCTCGTTCGTTAACCAAACGAGCCTGTTTATATTGTTCGGCTCGGCTCGTTAACGTTCACGGATGAGCTTTAACCGAGCCGAATCGAATCGACCCGAACGGCTCGGTTCGTTTAACAGCTCAATACAACAGCTTCTATTTGGAACTATTTTACTAAAGAAACATTAGGGCGTAATTTTTTTGAGGCAGTCTGGGAAAATTGAGATTGAATTTGGATAGAAATTTAAATTTTATGATAAGTTTGTGTTCCTTTTGATTTGTAAGTTTGGTTTGGATTATGAGAATTTTGTTGTGTATTCATGTGATAGTTAATAAAAATAATGATGTAAATATTTATTAAATTAAAATTACAAAATTAATAATAGTGTGGTTTGAGTATTAATTTTTAATTATAAATAAATTGTTATTTTTTTATTTATATTATATAAAATTTTATTTTTTATAAAATAATATATATTATATATATTTTTATTAAATTCTAACTATTAAAACAATCAAATAATTAATTTGTTACAGTTTTACATCGTGCAAATCATCTTATATATTAAAAAAATAATAATAAAAAAAGAAACACTGCAATTCTACAGTCCTACATCCTACCTTACTCTCACGCCATACAACAACTACCTGAGTTTTACACAATAATTGCGCAGTAAATTTGGTTAAACCAGCACGAAGAAACACTCCATTAGTTACTTTTTTATTTTTGTATTTCAAATATAAAATACTTCTTTCATTTTATTAACATTTTTTTGTTAGTATTTAGTAGTATCATTCGCGTAGATGGATTGATTTTTTTATATATGATATGAAAAATTGTGTTAAAATTTTAAAAAATATTATTTTAAGTTATTATTTTATTGATAAAATTGAAATATTGATGCAATATTTAAAATTGATAGGACATTTAGTATTATTAAAATTAAATTATAATATTAGTTCAAATAAAATATTTTTCAACATAATTATACAAATCCAAACTCTCAACCAAACATAATTTCAAAATCCTGACTTCAAAATCTTTCAAAAATTTAAATCCAAAATTGGGATGAATATTTAATTAGTTATACTTTTATTGAATTTGTTCGAAAACGAACAAAAATATAGTACGAGGAGGTTTAACAACAATGATATTGAATATTTCCTCATAATGATTCTCACATTGATATTTTACAATGTATAACTAAATTTGTACTTAATTGTGCCAAAATAGCTAGGAAACTACGAGTGTGTTTGTTTGATGAAATAGTTTGAAGAGATATATACATTTTTATTTTTTTTTATGTAAAGTATATAAAATTATGTAAATAATATAAAAATAATAAGTATGTGTTATATATTAATTTTGTTTTGAAAAAATATATTTTCCCGGCATAAAAAATACTTAAAAAAAAAAAAGGCCATTATTATATCTTTTCCGACTCAGCACTGCTTAATTCAGACATACATTAATTACTCCCCCAAAAAATTCAAAAAAATCCAAAAATTCAAAAAATTTCTATCATATTGCTGTATCCAATCGATTATTGTGTATTGTATTGTATGGTATAGTATTGTACCGTATTGCATATTTATGAACCCAACCCAACAGAACCTTATGATTGATCATCGATCATAGCCCATGGCGACAACAGGAATTCTAACCTTGTGGCCTCGACTGCCTTTCAGCAAAACCTCCCCGAAGCTGTAGCTTCCGGTGACGGACCTCACCGTCAGAGTCACCGAAATCTTCCCGGAAGCTTCCGCTCTCAGAGTCAGCGCCGGAGGATTCGTCTCAATGGCTATTTCCGGCGCCATTTTCGCACTCACAACATAAGTTTCTTCTGCAGCGACGTTCGTCACAGTCCTCGTCACCGTCCGGGTGCCCGCGAGATGCGATATTGCGATCGAGGGGACGTTGAGATTCGACGGATGGCCTAGCGTGTAGTTGCACGGAGCATGCGCAAATTTTCTCACCTCGCGTGGATCGATCCCGGGGGTTGCGCACAAGAACCCGATGTAGTCTTCGTATCCTAAGAATCGAACGAAAAACAATCAAACAAATTAAGTTAAATTGCTCATAACTCTCCTGTGGTTTCGAAATTCAGCGTAAAAGTCTTATTGTACTTTAAAAATTACATGGCACCCTCTTATACTTTCAAAAACGTTGCATGAAATCCCATCACCATGAAATGATGCAAAGATGATATCCTATCTATATGTTTTGCATGGCAGGAGGTTTCATGCAATATTTTTGAAAATATAAGAGGGCGTCATGCAACTTTTTAAAGTAAAATGAGGATTTACGCTGAGTTTCGAAATCATAAGAGAGTAATGGAATTTTTGCCAACAAGTTAAACAGAAGCACGGAACTCATTCAATAAATAACTCACCGGCGTCAAAAACCAATCCCGGATCGAGAGCTGCGCCGGGGTTGATATGCCCACTTCCATAATCAAAAGGCGTCGCCCGGACAAGAGACATGGTCTCGGATTCAAGATATTGTTGAGCCTCAACAGGTTGCTCCGCCCGGTCGAGAGTTATCGACGTAGTCATCAAAGCCGACTTGATAGCTGCGGGGCTCCATCGCGGGTGCTTTTGCTTCAAAAGGGCTGCGATTCCGGCTACATGAGGTGCCGCCATGCTCGTTCCGGAGATCATTGCGAAGCCTTCGCCTGCTTCATCGACAAGTACCTAAGTATATACATTAAGTTACGGCAAAACGTACGAAAATGGTGCACGATGAACTCTTTACCAATGTAATTTGGCTCGTCCGTTCCGTTAGGAGTCCAAGCGGCCCAAATTAGCGAGCCCGGCGCGAGGATGTCGGGTTTCAAGATATCTGCGTCTTGAAAACTGTAGTCTTGGATATTAGGCCCTCGAGCGGAGAATAACGCTACTTGTGGCGCGGAGTTATGGAGCACCGGCCTCAAGCATTCGCCGATCTTCCCGACTGATTTGAAGCTCTTTACTCTCCCCGTCCAATCGCGTGCCGTGGAGCGATTGTAGTAATCGATAAGTTCCTAAAAAGTCGATTGCATATACAAGAATTGTAAGGTTTCCGTTTTTGAAACTTTCATATTTTCGCCATAAATCGAGAGCTACAAGTAGTTACCGTCGACTTGCTGACATCGGCGAGGAGGATCCCGGGAATCCCGACAGGCACCGGATCGAATTTTGCCCCGGGAGAAGCGTTTTCGACTGCTAGGACAAAGCCAACCGCGCCAAGAGCCTTAGCAGTCTCCGATACTCTCTTGATCGACGCCGTGCCGGAGACAAAATTAAAAGAATAGCCACAGAGAAGAATGTTCCCCTCTACCAAATTTCGGTTCAAGATTTCGGGACGTTGGCAGTCGGAAGGACTGCGCTTCATTGCCGAGGAATCGAGCAACGCATCGTTCGCTGCCACTAGGGTGAACGTCCGATTGGCGTGCGTCGCAGCTGCACAAAGATTTTCGATCGTAAAAATCTACGTTCCATAAATAGTGCCGCGTAGAAGTTTTTTTCGAAACTTACGAGACAAACTGATTCCGGACAAGATCTTTCCGTTCCCTAACGTGAGATGATTCTTGTACCTACGATCATCGACTGCAGCAGCGACGGTTACTATCCACGGGCTGTAAGACACCAACGTTTTTGGAAAAGGCCCTCCGTTCCCGGCTGCTTGCACAACAAAAACTCCGGCTTTTACAGCCGAAAGGAGGGTCGCGTCGAAGGGGTTTAGATATGTTGTCTTTGTAGTCGACGGAGGACTGTTGGGACCAACCGAGAGGTTCAAAATATCCACACCGTCGTGAACTGCCTGTCGTGGATTTTACACAATGTTAATGTCGAATACGACGTAGTAATATTCATTTATTCGCAAAAATAGAGCACCTGATCTATCGCAGCGACGACATCCGAAACAAAACCACCGAATAATCTGTACAAGGCCTTGTACACGGCAATCCTATGAAACGAAATGATAATTCACGATCAACAATTCGACGGATTATCACAAAAGAGTTGACTGACCTCGCTCGCGGCGCCATTCCGCTGGCTCTGCCAAATTCAATCCCGTGCATCCTCACTGGAATTCCGTTGTTTCCAGCTGCAATAGCCGCCGTATGGCTGGTAAAACGACATCTCTATAATTAGTCTCGATTCTGTAGAAAATTGCTATTGATACATTAATACAATAACTCGAACCTTCCATGTCCGTCCCCATCGAGTGGCGAATCGAAATCAATGTCGGGATTAAAAGCACCCGAAGCTTTAGCAGCAGCTGCAAAATGCTGAGCTCCGATGATCTTCCCGTTGCAGAAGTCTCGTTTCGTGTTCGGGTCGACCTCACACTTACCTCTGTATTTCGGAAGAGGTTCGTAAGTATCGGCTGTATGCGACGCAAAGCTAGGGTGATGAGGATAAATTCCAGAGTCGATAAAGCCTATAACAATATCCTCTCCGGCCCTGTCGAATCCGCCTCCAGTGAGCCATGCTCCAGTCGGGAGCCCCAAGAATTGCGGCGTGTGGGTTGTGAGTTTCTGCACTTTATAATCTCGATCGACAGACTTCACGCCCGGCGCTCGACCAAGCACTTCTGCCTAAAAGAACAAACTGTAAGAAAATACGCCGAAATAAGTTGGACATGAGGTGTAATGTACAATGAAAAGAATGTCCGCGACCTGCTCGGGGGAGACATGAACTGCGAATCCATTGATGAGATGCCGATAGCTGTAAAGCTTTTTGTACGTCCCCTGTTCGAACAACATATCTAGAAACATGTCGTGTTTCTTCTCTAGATGGCGAGCGTAGGACACGACCAATTCGCTGCGATCAAACCACACGGAAGAAAGCTTTAAACTCTATATTTTCCGACTCTTTATTCTCACAAAACATCACATCAAATATTATTTTAAGTAAAAACTCAGAACTTCCAAATTCAATCTAGACTAACAAGAATCAGACTGTCTGGATAAGAAACTGAAATTCTCTATTTCAATATTTATAGTATCGTATAAATCATTATAAAACACTAATATAAGTATTTTTGTCATTTTCTCTTAATTTGTACTATGTTTTCATATAATAATTAATATTAAAATATTAACAAGACCGTTAGAGCCAACGGAGATGGAGTCGGAGGTAGTATATATTTTCTAAATATATTTTAACAAGATCCTTAAAAATACACAACCATATATCAAAGGAGCAATCTTCAATAGTTCCAATCTGTAATATTTCGAGCACCAATTCACAAACATTAACCATCACAATCACGACCGCAGATCATCGACATTGTAAAAAACAACGATAGCATCGAAGAAAAATATATCTTTCCGAAAAGTTAGTTATAAAAATGCATTAAGAGCACCTTGAGGCATCAATCTTCACATCATCGGATTCGAAGTCTACGGCCGTGGCTTCGAAGCCATCAACTCCACCTTTATAGCTTACAACGGGTTCGCCTTCGAGTGTCACCATATATATTTCGGCATCGACTAAAATGCCTAATATAACTACGGCAGCCAAATAACCACTCAAATGTATGTTCTTCATTTTTCAGCCCCCAAACTTTTTGCAATTCAAATCTGTTCCAAAAACCTTAAATCAAAACTCACTCCATGGATTCTAACAACATAGGTCAAATCAACAAAATCTGTGCAGTTCGTTTTATATAGATCGATTACTCACCTCCTGTTTTTCTAACATATACTCTCTCTCTCTCTCTCTCTCTCTCTCTCTCTCTCTCTACTCACAAGTAAACCTGCAATGTGTAAATCTATAAATAAATACAAAAAATTAAAAAGAAAACGTTGTTAGTAAGCAAAGCATCGACAAAAGTAAAGTAAGAAAAGATCCAAAAGGTACAAAAATCTTACTCAGAAATGAAATGAGATGATCCCAATGAAGGAAGAACAGAGCAGAATGGTGCAGGCAGGCAGGCAGGCAGAGTGAGTAAGAGTAGCTTTAATCTTACTCCAACTTTATATAATTAAGCTTGTAAAGGGAACATCCATTGAAAAACGCAGACCAGAAAGTTTAGCAGTTCAGTTCAGTTCGATTGAAGCTTGAAGATGGGTAAAGGATGAAGTTTTCCCCTTTTTAGCTATTTAAGTGTGGAGGGTGGGGGTGGTGATTTAAGGTGGGAGCCTCTCACTCTCAGACTCTCTCTCTCTCTCTCTCTAAACAATAGCCCGACGCCATTGTTGATTTTACTGGTTATCTATCTTTAACCTCTCTTTTTTTAACCTTTAATTTTAATTTAATGGCTCTCACAGATTGAGAGTTGACAGGAATTTGTTAGGGTTCATTCTGCCGCTGATGTTAGGGCTTACTTCGTCGCTTTCATAATTAATTAATATTTTATATTTATAAATGGATACATTCCTACATCGCCATCTTCGGTGATTCTGTGACAAAACAGCTGCTTAAATTCAAGCACGAGATCTATAATCAAATTTAGTCCAGTATGTGGGGTTGAACTTGATACAGCGAGTTTATGGGTTCAAATTCTCGATCCCCTAGATTATCTGTTAAGTATAGTTTGTCGTATCTGAATTGCAGGATATTAGGTTCGATCGGAGTTTATCCAGTTTGCACTTTCGGATAGCGATTGCGGATTCCCGTGTCATAAAAAAAAAATTAATTTAATTTAACTCATGATGCCTAACTTACCATTCTTGGAAAGGACAAAAAAATAAAAGTCTATAAATATTTAAAGATATGAATATTTAATTCAATACTCATTTCTTTTCTCACATTTGTGCTCAAAATATTTAGGCATCAATTTTAATGTATGAACATTTTTATTGATATTTTTATTTATTTATTTTATTTATAGTAAAAAATTTATATAAAAAGTATTCTTTTACTAAATAAAAAAATGATAGTAATAATTTTTAATAGACAAATTAAAAAAAAAAAAACACACACAATTTAAGAGACAGAAAAAAATATAAATAATTATTGAAAATATATTTTAAACAAAAAATATTTTTAATACAATATTTAAAATAAAAACTAATTTTAAATCTAAAGATTTTAACAACAAATTTTTTATAAATACTAGAAATAAGGCTGTCATCACGGTATTGATGTGATTCTTTTTCATATAGCATAGTTCATGTAGCACTAATCAAAAGTTTAAATAGCAAATAATATATTTAAAAGATGTGTTTATAAACTTTTGATCGATGCTTTCGAAATTCTTGATCAGTGTTTTATGAACTCTTAAATTGATGCTAACTGGCAAATTAACAACAATATAGAACATAATATATACTAAATAGAGTATCAATGCTATATGGATATTTAGTATGTACTTTTTGGGAAAATCATCACCTTAACCAAAGCGTAAAAATAAATGTTCAAAATATAATTTATTTTGGTTAAAATTTGAACCATTTTTTTTTAATTTGATATAATATAAATAAATATTGATGTAATATTTTAAATATAAATCTAATTTTAATATAAAAAAAATATGTATTCTTTTCAATAAATTTGATATTAATTTTTTTGTGTAACATTGCATCTTGCAAGAAAATATCATCCATAAATAGTTTGAGTGACGATGAGCAAGATATTGTTATGCATGACCGTGGGCTGTAATATTTTCAACCGGAACGGCTGCGATATCGTTTTTGTCATCCAATGTGTGCCAACTGTGATACTATGACTCGTAATTGACCGGTGACGCATTCACTTACGAGCTGCTTCACAGTTATCAAGTCAGAACTACGAACTTACTATGTGTGTCTGTGTAATGTCCGATCCATAATCGAGTTGACATATTAGATGTTTTGTTAATTAAATATCTTAAAATTGTTATTATCAATACGCCAATTTCAAACTAGAATTTTGAATTCGTATATGATTTTCATTAAAATTTATGTTATTGAATAAGTTTTTAAGTTAGTTTTCCAACGCCACAAATTGTAAGTCGATTCGTATTCAAACGAAAGAGTTATAAGCCAAATAGTAGTTAAATGTCTATTGTATATTTAAATACATTTTTAAAATAACGCTAATACAATTTTAACTCGACTTGTAAATATAAAATCTCTTTCTCACTTATATTTAACATTCATTTCATTCCATAAACACTCTTAGGAAACCCTAGCCACGGAACCTTCCCTCCCACTTAAGTTTAAGGTGATTTTGAAGTAAGTTTTCATACAATTTTTTTTTTCTTTATTCTTAAAATTCAATTTTATAACATGTGTACATTATTTTAAGTTATTGCAATTATTTAAACTATGGAATTATTTTTTAAAAACTATATTTTTATTTTTCGCATTTTCATTTTGACATATTATATGAGTTATTTGAAAGACAAATGGATTTTATATGATTTTTTAAATTTATACACTCTTTTTTTTTTACGAAAAATATTAAAGAGTGTTCCATGAATTTTCTGTAACTTTTGGATGTTGTTTTCACACTTTTGTGTCATGTAAAATGCAGATATGTTTGTTATATTTAATTAGAGACTAATTTTGTTTCATTTGGGTATAAAATAAATTGTATATAAATTTTTAAAGTTGCACACTTTGTTTTTTTACGGAAGTTCTGTTTGGTATATTTAACTACTATTCAGTTTTTTTTTTGGAGCTTATTTTCATATTTTTGTTTAATTGAAAATATAGATATATGTGTTAGCTTTAACTAAAGACCAAGTTTATCTCATTTGAGTGTAAAATTGATTTTTAATTATTTTAATAATAAAAATGTTATGTTTTCCCGAATTGAATTGGCTATTTTAGTTAAGATGATATTTTAGATAAAAATCAAATTAATAATTGAATTGTTGGTCTTTGAAATTAAATTTAGGAATGTTAGCTTCGATTTAGCGCTAGTTTCATAATATTTGGGCAAACGATGAATTTATGGTAAATTTAATAAGTTCGAGTGAAATTTCATAACATATCATATTTGGTGATTATGTGAAGTTTGATTCAATCAAGTTCCACGACTCAGTGGTAGTTGAGTTGATTTGCTTCCTATAAGTAAAGTAAGGAGTTAAATTATGCATACTTAAAATGAATTGACCATCTAATTAACTCCGTGACATTATAATATATTTGTATATGATATGTGGTGAACTTATTGTGATATGAGATTAAGCATTGATAATTTGTATATATCGTGGGTTTGGCTACACTTAGCCGTTGATTGACAAGTTGAATGATAATTTGTGTTTTGTGTGTATTGTAGATTTGGCTAGACTTAGCCATTGATTGACAAGTCGATTGATAAATTCTATAAGTTGTGGATTTGGCTAGACTTAGTCGTTAATTGACAAGTCCATTGATAAATTGTATAAGCCGTGAATTTGGAAAGACTTAGCCGTTGATTGACAAGTCGATTGATAAATTGTATAAATCGTGGTTTTAGCTAGACTTGGCCGTTGATTGACAAGTTGATTGATAAATTGTATAAGTCGTGGATTTGACTAGATTTAGCTGTTAATTGGAAAGTCAATTAATAAATTTTGATAGCCATATATTTAGCTAGATTTAGCCATTAGGGAAAGTTAATTAATAATTGAGTAAGCCGTAAATTTGGCTAGATTTAGCGGCTACTTGGCAAATTAGTTGATCAAGTGAGTGAGCCATGGATTTTAGATAGTTATAGTTGTTAGTTTGGCTAATACTTATTGTTGGTAATTTCATGCATTTTATATTTAATTCCTTACTTAGCTTTACCTGATGTTTACTACCATTTTTCATGTAGAGTTGATTTTCGAACTTTCATCCACTTGATGCATTATAGGGATGAGACTTTATCGAGTATGCATGACTTTTTATTGGATAATGTCCGAACTTATGATTATACATACTCCCTACTTTTAATATGCATTGAGACTTCTCAATACATGCAAAGACTTCTTACGATTACATGTTTTTCAAACACTTTTGGGTGTTAGAAAATATATTTTAAGATTTTCACAAAGAAAAACTTTTACACTCGCGGTTATGATGCTTTAGCCTAGCATCGGGGCACGGCATGTTTTTATGTGATGTTGTTCTGGTGTTGGCGTGTGACACTTCTAGATTTTTATTTGAGGTGTTACATTCTGTTGATGTAATTTGTGATCTTTGTGACATACTATTTGAACCGGGATTTGTAAAAATCTATAGCAGACAACGGGTTAAGATATACGAACATGTAGCATATTTTTGCATACGGTCGCTCGCCTAATTGTTTAACGTGTTGCCGGGGCGTAGTTTCAGCACAAAAAAAAAAATGTATGAACATGTAGAGAGAGTAACTTTGGCCCTCTTCAAGTTGGGGTTTAAGTCTTTTTTTTTATATATGTATATTACAAACGGAAAGAAAAAGAAAAGAAAGATTGTGAAAGAAAAAAGAAGGACGGGCGAAATCGTGAGGGTAAAAGAAGAAGGAAGATGAGAGTAAGAGAATATGAGGGGATGAAAAAAATTAATTAGGAAGATGCGATCGAATTGAGGTTATATATATTTTTTATATTTAAAATTATCCATATTCTTATTATATTTTATAAATTATAATTTAATAAAAATAGTAGTAGATACAAGTGAATGAATTTTTTTGATATATATAATTGTTTTCATTAGGATTATAAAAAATTCCAAGTGTTTGTTTTATATTTCTGTAGAAAAAAAAAATGCAAAAAAATGGTGAAATATAAGAAGACAATGAATATCAAATCAGCAATATTATGGTGTATATTTTTACTAATGATTTGATTTTTTTGATTTTTTTTTAACTTTGTAGATATGTTATTATTATTATTATTATTATTATTATTATTATTATTATTGATTTATGGTATGTGTCAAATATAAGTTTATAATTTCAATATTATATATCTTAGTTTTTAATTAGTTATTTGAAGGTATTTCCGAAAAGCTACTGGATCGTTGATCGCTATAAACATTACGATAAGAAAATATGCAATACTATTATGATAAACATATTTATAATATATTTTTTTTTTATACTTAATAAATTTATTAAATACTATATTATCACTATTAATTATTTTATTTAAATATAAATGTTTTGTACTTTTTTTTCAAATAAATAAACCAAAAAGATAGTTGAAAAAAGCCCAGATAAAAAATACAAAAGAAAAGCAATACTATTAGGATAAAAATATTTTTAATTTTTAATTTGAATTGGAAATATTTTATGCTACTTAAATATAATTCTTTTTATATAATTTTTT